AAAAAAAAAAAAAAAAAAGTATATAAAAATAAATGTTTATGTATAGTAATTTATGTATTATATTTATAATTTATATAAATTGTCTGTGTAGAACGAGATGAAAAATGTTATTTTCAAGGACAAAATGACAGTTGCTTGAATTCTTTGACAGGTCAAACAGAAATATTTGGAAGTGGGTAGGACGATGAAGGAGTATGAAGACAGGAAGTACGAGCAGTGGATGGAGGCGACGGAGCAGGTGCTGCCGGCCCTCATGAAGAAGAGCCTTTTGACCAAGGTGCGGTGCCCACGCCCTCATTCCAGATTGCCACGTGAGACCGTGGCGTCTGCCACATTTTCTCAAGGCTTGATTTGTTGACATTCATGAAGTTGGGTCACTTTCCAGAATCAAAGACAAAGAAGGGCTAGGGAGGGAGGAGAAAGGAAAGCGTGGAGATGGCACGATGCCATGGTTAGAACGTGGGCTGGAAACGGGCAGCCCTACTGACTCCTTGGGCAAGTGGCTGAACACCAAGCCTCCGTTTCCTCATTTATGAAATGTGTTTTATAAATCAGATGATGTAAACAAGCAAAGGGCTGGTTGAGTCATATATGAAACAGAGCTGACAGTTGGCCCTCTTTAACCTGCAGAAAAATGCCCCGATTCATCCTCTTCTTTAGCGCTGGGCCTGGCACTTAGCGAATGCTCCATGAATGAACACCTGCCAGTAGGGAGGAAAGATGCGGCCTGGCAGTTTTAGGTCTTTGGTTCCTGAAATCCTGATGTAGGGACCAAAGCAAGTGGAGGGGGCCAGGTGGGACCCCTAGGGAACAGGTGTGCTCAGATCCAACCAAAGAGGCAACTGTTCCATGTCAGATTTTCCAGTGTTTCAAGGCAGAAGGGATTTTTAGGTGAAACTGCTCCATTTTCAAATGCTGGCGACTGAATTGATTCTTTAAAATCTCTGTTCACCAAACAAAGTACATATTCCAGCCGGTTCCAGCCAGCACCCCCGTCTGTTGGGGACCAAGGGCCCAGTGTTGATCTTTTTCATGTTCACTGTTGGTGTGGGTTGTGTTGATCCAGCTGTCTCTGGGACTGTCCTGGCCGTGCTGATGGAATGTCTCTCCACAGTCTTCCACCGCTGCGGAGGAGCCTTGGACTTCAGAAAGGGGAGCTGTTTTTGCAATCAACTTTTCACCTGCTCTCAGGGAGATTATTAATGAAACGAAGTACTTAGAGCAGCTGGGGTTCACTGTCCCTGAATTAGCAAGAAATGTTGCGCTCCAGGAAGACAAATTCCTTAGGTAAAAACATTCTTCTTTTAAATTAGCAGTAAGCTTTTCGGTCTTGGGACCCCTTTACACTCTTAAAAATTATTGAGGACCCCTCCGAAAGGTTTTGTTCTTGTGGATTTTATCCTGATGAATTCTTGCCACGTTAGAAATAGAAGCTAAGCACTGGGCGTTGTGGTACTACCTGTAGTCCCAGCTACTCGGGAGGCTTAGGTGGGAGGATTCCTTGAACCTGGGAGAGTTGAGGCTGCAGTGAACCATGATTGCACCACTGCACTCCAGCCTGGGAGACAGAGCGAGACCCTGTATCCAAAAAATAAATAAATAAATAAATAAATAAATAAATAAATAAATAAATGAATGAATAAATAATAAAAGAA